TGGCTCCTGCCACCCTGGGGGATCTCAAGGGGCAGATGTGCTCGCAGCTGGACGGCACGTGCCCACCACTGGCTCTTGGTTGGGAGCTGGGCAAAGCGGCATGTTATTGTAGGGTCTCTCCTTCTCCCAACACTGTTGATCTTGATGGGAGCTGGGCAGGGGCAGGGGCAGGGGCCGGGGCTCAGGGTAGGCATGCCCATTTGCCTACGCCTTCCCTGCAGCTGCCCCCGGTGCCCCGTCCATGAGGCCCGGGCCAGCACTGAGGCGGTTGTTGTCAGCATCGATGGCCTGGGAGATCCCGTCCATCTGAAGGCAGCAGGCCCCATCTTGGTAGGACGTTGGGAACTGGAAGTCGCCCCCGGCTCCGCTGAGCGGTACCTTCTCCTGCTGCGAGGCTTTGGTGGCTGGAGGGGAGCTGCAGCCCTGCACCTTGCTCTTGGCCTTGAGTCGGTCATGGTAGGAGACCAGAGCCATGGCCACGGCCCCGACAAGTGTCACGGCCAGCAGCACTGTCACAGTCACAAACTGGGGCCAGTAGGAGCGGTGTGGGGACAGTGGTTCCACCCCCTCCTCGGCAATGCCATCTACCCTGCTGTGGTACCCAGGGTGCCCGGCACCGCCACGGGGCTGCTGCACCACATAGCGGGCCACAGGCCGGCTGTACCCGTTCTCACTGGCCCAGCACTCGTAAGTGCCGGCTGTGCGGTTCTGTGCAATGAGCACCAGTGTGTGGTCGGCCAGCACGGCCACCCCCTCGCTGGGGCGCTGCTCTGGATAGCGCCAGTTATAGTTGGCCAGGGCGGAGAGCCGTGGGCAAGGCAGGCGAAGCACCGTGTTCGGCGCGGGGCTCAGAGCTGTGGGGAGGAAGGGAATGAGGTCACTCAGGGTTGCTCATGTCCCTGCCAGTACCCGCTGTGGCTCACTACTGCCCCCAGACCATGGTGCTTGGTCAGGCCAGGAAAGGCAAGCGCCATGTAAACCCGGCACAGCTGGGCTGGAAAGGAAGTGGGGTGACTCTGGAGTCACTCCTGTCAGCCAGGGATCCCCAGTGCAGGGTCCCTGGATGGGTGCCCATGGCTGCTGGCATCCCTGGAGGCTCACAGGACACCCCTTGGCCATGGCTCCCTGACAGCCCAGAGGGCCCGATCCTGTTTCCCCCCAGCCCTCCCCAGTAGTGAAAGCCCCCGATACCCCTGATACTGAACTCTTCACCACGCTGCTGTCCACACCATCCTGGGACCGGCCGATGGCCCTGCCCTTGGGCCTGGACTGCGGGCACGTGTCATTTGGAAAGCCCATCTCCACATCCTGCAGCCAGTGCCTGAAGAGGAAGGGACACATGTGAGATGTGGGGCAGGGGCCAGACTGGAGCTCTCGGCCCCCAGTGCCAGCCCAGTTGAGAGGACGGAGGGACACTGGCTCTGCCCAGGGCAGTAGCTGAGGACCACGCTGTCCCCACAGCCTTGCCATGCCCTTCAGGGCTGCAAAGCACATGAGCAACCCCCACAGGCTGCTTCCTCCTTCAGCTGGGATGAGAACCCAGGCGTCCTGGCTCCCTCTCCCCTGCTCGAACCACTATACCTCACTCTGGAGCCCATCCCAGGAGCCAGGGGGCCCACCTCCATGGCGCTTTAACCAGTAGCCCAGCCCATCCCTAAGGCTACTCACGTGACATTAGCCCCGGCACGGGTCTCCCGGCAGGCATGGCTGAGGCTGTCCCAGGCGCAGAAGGGGTCGCGGGCCAGGATGCAGTCAGCGCAGCTCTGGTACAAGCTGCAGTTGGCCACGGGCACTTGTAGGACCCCACGGGAGAAGCCCACGTACAGCATGCCCTGCACAAACAGGCACGCGGTCATGCCGGGGGTCTTTGGCGGGATCTCCCCCAGGCTGTGCTGGGAGGGAGGTGGTGGGGAGAGCTCCTACCTTGGCAGGGGACAGTAGGAGGTTTCTCACAGCCTCAGGCTCCTGGAACAGCTGGATCTCCTCGATGATGTGGGTCCCACCAGGCAGCACCACCGCCTTGTGCAGCAGCCCCTGGTCTGCAGAGAGGAGCACAGCCTGGCTGTATGAACCCGGGGCTGGGAAGATTCCTGCACCCATGGGGGGTTCCAGCTTCACTGCTTATGCAACCCCACTTTCTCCCCTTCAAAGAAATGCAGCCACCTCTGGGGTGGAACGCAGCAGCTACTTTTAACAGGGCCCAGCAAACGCCAGGCAACTCCCAGGACGGGGAGTAGGGGCAGGATAGCAATGGACAGAGATGGGAACAGCTGGTGGGAGAGGATCAAACCCCAGGGCCCTTGTATCTGTCTCTAAGGGACCTCAATTGGAGTTGGAGCTTGCCTGGTTGAAGTTTCACAGCTAGGAGCAGAGCATCCCTGCTTCCACCTTGGACCAGATGGAAACACCAGTGACTTGCCAAAGGCGCTGAACTGGACATAAGCTTGAGCCCTCTCTGCCACTGCTGCTCTGTGTGCCCTTGGGTGGGCACTTCATTCCATCATAGGAAGGGAGGGTTGGAAGGGACCTCAGGAGGTCACCTCTAGTCCAACCCCCTGCTCCAAGCAGGACCAGCCCCAGCTACATCATCCCAGCCAAGGTTTTGTCTAGCTGAGGCTTAAACACCTTCAAGGATGGAGACTCCACCACCTCTCTGGGTAACCTATTCTAGTGCTTTACTACTCTCCTAGTGAGAAAGTTTTTCCTAATATCCAACCTAAGCCTCCACTCTTCCACTGCCCCACCTAGCCTGACCCTACTTAGCCAAGCCAGGCCTGTGCAGCACCCTGGGAGGGTCCTAGGCAGGCACTTACCTGTGCCCAGGAAGAGGACGGGGTATTGGGTACCGGAGATGCTGGGGACCTGGTGCACCGCAAGGCGCGTGTAGGTCACATCCTGCTTCTCTAGCAGCGGGCGCAGGCCCATGGGCTCCACCTTCTCGTCCATGAGGAAATGCTCCTTCATGAAGTTCAAGGTCTTGTCTGATGATGGCCCCACTGAGCACTGTGGAGAGGCAGACAGGTGGGCGATGCCTGGGAGGGAAACTGAGGCACTGGCCCGCTGAACCCAGGTGGGGTTTGGAAAGGGTTGGAAGTGGGGTGGGCGGTACTTACACTGCCAGGTCGGGGCACCATGACCGGCTCGCTGTAGGTGGTCCAGCGCAAGCTCCCTTTGTTCAGCTCCTTGTACTTGCCGTTGAAAACCTCTTTGATCGCAGGCTGGCTGAAGGCGCACACAGCCGCGCCGCCCGTGGCCCCCATCTCCCTGGGAGGGTGGGGGGTGTTCCATGAGCAGAGAGGAGGGTGGGAACCCTTGAGGCTTGGGGCGGGGGGGGCAATGTGTAGGTTCCTAGCTCCTAGCCCCTGCTGCTCTAACCACTAGATGATGCTCTTCCTTTGACCAAGCACAGGACCCAGGAGTCCCAGGGCTGTGTGTGCAGGGCTCTAGCCACTAGACCGTGCTGCTTCTAAGCACTGGGCATGCACCCCAGGAGACCCGGTGCTCAGCCCTCACTAAACTCTCCCCACTCAATCCCATAAAGTAGCACCCAGGGGTGTGGATGCTGCTGCCTGCCCAACTCCCATGCCCCACTGGGCATGCCCTGTGCTTAATTACAGGTGAATGACTGAGCCCGTTATGGAGCGCCTGCGCCCGGGGGCAAGCAGGACGGGACAAGGGCCTGTGAATCAGTCTTATGATGGTGTTTTAGGGGCTTACCACTGGGAAGAGAAGACCCCATAGAAGACAGTGCCGCCGGCTGGCTGAGGCAGGGCCACAGCGTGGTGGATCACATTGTAGGGGAAGCGCTCGGGCTGGGCACATGACAGCTGCGCCTTCAGGAACGTCGTCCACTTCCGCTGCAGCACCTTGTCACCCCCCACATCGCTCTGCAGGAGAGGGCAGCACCAGGCTCAGTGCCCCAGGACCCTCAATGAGAGGCGGGGGGCACAGCGTGTGCACCAGCAGGGATAACTCAGCAGAAAGGGGGGAAGCTCAGCTCAGCTCAGCTCTAGGACACCTGAGTTCTCATCCATCCATGACAAGGGGTTCCAGTGAGGCCATATAAGGGCCATATCAGCCCATGCTGGCCCAGGGTGCCTTTAAAGGCTTTTGGGAGGTGAGTGGGCATGTAACCCCCAGTCAGAGTCTAGGGAGCTGCAGGCTCCCTCCCAGACCAGCCCTGGGAAGGGAGCAGAAGCAGGAGCAGGAGAGATGCCAGGGGAGTTGGGAGAGGGGGGTCTGCCCAGGCCTGGGGCAGTGCAGAAGCTGTGTCTTGTAAGCAGGTGACACTGAGGACAAGGCCTGAGTCCCCAGCACTGCACCCTCTGGGTCAGAGGGTGATGAGTGATAGTTGCCGGAAATGCAGCCACCTCTGGGGTAGGATGCGCAACCCCTGCTCTGCCCACATGGGGGCAGCAGCTGCCTGTAGTAGTGCAGGCAGCCCACAAGGGGGCAATGCCACCCCAGGTCCTAGGGCAGGGTGCTGTACACACGGATGTACACATGTACTCACACACACATTCATGCATGCACGCACACACACAAATATACACGCATGTAAGTACATGCATGCACACACATGCCCGTAATGCACACACATGCATGCATGCATGCACATGATGCACACATAAGCACCTACATGTGTGCACGTGTACACACACACACAAAGGACACACATGCACAACACATGCACATACATGTGCATACATGTATGCACAGGGTGCTGCACACTTGTACACTGCACACGCGCGCGCGCACACACACACACACACACACAGAGGCATATCCACACGCGCATGCACACTGACGATCTCCCTGAGGGGCCTGGCGCTGCCCGTACCTTGCAGACCTGCGCCACCCGTGGCACCGTGAGCCCCTCGAAGAAGTCGAACTCGTTGGCTGTCTCCTCGAAGAAGAAATAGACCTTGTCGTCATTGGGGATGCTGAAGGAGGCTACGAAGGCTGCGTCAGCTGGGGGGACAGGACAGAGCTGGGCTAAGTTCTGGCTGCCGGCCAACCAAGTGGTAATTGCACTGTGCCGAGCTGTGCTCTGCTGTCCCTGGGGCAATTCAGAGCCACCCCAATGCTGCTCTAACTTCCCCCCTCAAAGCACCAGAGTAGGAGGAGGCTATGATCTGCCCCCTCCCCGCAGCCCCCGAGCCCAGCCCTGCCCCTGGGGAAGGAAAAGCATCAGGCCCCCGGCCCCTCCTCACCCTGCAGCCAGCGGAGGAAGGCATCAGTCTTCAGCAGGGTCCGGTTGCTCAGGGCACGGGAGATAATGGGCTCGTTGCCTTGGAAGTTGTTCATGGTACCCGTGTAGAGCTCCCCATCTGCAGGGGGGAGCAGTGAGGGTCTCTGAGCTCAGAGGGGCAGCACCAGGCATCTCACCCCCACTGGGGGTAACACAGTGGGCTCCCCCTGCCAGCCCTGCTTCCTCCCCACAGAGCCCCCTGGCCCTGGGGATACTCACCCACCAGCGCTGCCGTGTATGTGTGCTGGGGATTGAAGGGGCTCTGGCCCTTGCCATCCAGCAACAGGGGCTGTCCCTGAGCACCGGAAACCAGCGTGAAGGTGTCCAGACTCTGGAAGCAGTGACAGAAAACATTCATGGGCCAGCAAGGCTGAGAGACACCCCCCACCCAGCATGGGGGGAGAGTGGGGCCTGACTGACATCCCCAGCCAGTGGCAGCATATGCCCTTGGAGATGGGGAAACTGAGGCACCAAGGGGGTGAAGGGGTGTATTGGGGGCCTCCCAAGTCCCAGCCCAGGTCTTCGGGAAGGACAGAGCCCAGCCAACATGTACGTTCATGCACACAGCCACACGCCTGTACATGCATGCACAAGCACATGCACACACGAGTGCATGCATTCAGGCATACACACATGCACCTAAGTGCACCCACACACATAGCCACATGCAGGTGCACACACACGTGTGCACCCATACATGCAGGCACACGTATTCATGCATACATGCACACGCATGCATGTCGATGCAGGTGCGTGAGCAAGTGTGTGCACGCGTGCACACACACACACGCGCGCGCGCACGCACACACACACACACTTCATCTGCACTGCAGCCAGACAGAGCCACATCTCCAAAGGGACAGAGGCACTGACAGAAGCAGCCTGGCCTCCACAAAAGCCAACAGGAGTCCAGCCCCTCACTCCCGTCAGCGCCTTGGCGTCTCCTCTGTGATTCCAGTGCCTAAATCCCCTGACACACCAGCCTTCAGGGCCTCTGGGGCTTCCCCTGGGTCTTGGCATAGCCCAGACAGTAGCAACAGAGGAAGCCCTGGCTCAGCGTGCACCTGGGGCTGCCCCAGTCCCCCGCCGGTAGCACAGGCAGGGGACAGGTTTGTGCGACCGGACACTCACCACGTAGCTGCAGGTGGGGCTGAAAGCGTAGGTCCCGCAGACGTACAGGTGTGTCTGGTTCAGTGGCACCAGGACACGGATGAAGTTGAAGCACTCGGTCTGCAGGAGGAAGAAGGGCTGATACCTTGGCACACTCAGCTCAGGCCTGCAGCCACCTCTGGGGGGCAACCAGGTGGGTGTATCAACAGATCCACGGGGACCCTTTCCCCAAACTAGAAGTCAGCTGGGCAGTGACACACAGGGGTCATGCCCCGGGGGGAGATACAGCCAGGATTTAACAGCAGGGGTGGGTTATCTAGCACTAAAATGCAGCCACTTCTGGGGGGGAGCAGAACAGCAGCAGGCCCTTACCAGATTGCTCTTCTTCTTAAAAACACACTCCTGCTTCTTCTCGTCCATGGGGGCCCAGGGGATCTGGAAGGGAGTGGAGAGAGTCAGGAAGGGAAGTGGGACTGGGAGCCAGGACTCTTCGGTTCAGTTCTGTCTGGAGGGCGGCGGTGTGGTCTCGTGGTCAGCACGAGGGGGGAAGGAGGGGAAGTGCGGTAGGAGCAGGGGACGCCAGGCGCTGCACCTCCGTTCCCGTCTACTCCTAGATTACCAGCAGTCTCCCGCAGGTTGCCCCTTGCCTGGGGAAACTGAGGCATGGCAGGACTCAGTCGGGCCCCAAGTAGGTGCTGGAGGCAAGATTAAAACCCAGGCCTGCAGCCCGTGCTGCCACCCCCTGCTCACCAAGTTCTTGAATGCCATGGTGCCCGTGCTGTCCACCCCAAGGGAGAGGATGGTGTCCCGGGCACCCACGTACAGCGTGTCCTCATCCTTGCTCAGCAGCAGAACGTCGTAGTTGGAGACACCCCGGAGACTGAAGTGGGGCAGGATCCTGCGCGGGTCTCCTGGTAGGGGGCAGGTACCATCGGTTACTCCTGCACTTCCCACCCGGCCCACTCTCCCCTCCTGCTGGACGTGTCTCTGTCCCCAGCACCCTGCACCGGGACCGACTGGGAGCGTACCATAATTTAGCATCTACATAGAGCCATGCATCACACAGCACCACCGATGGACTGCAACTTAGCGCCTCTATGTGGACCCAACTATGGATGTACCGTAATTTAGCACCTGTATATAGTAGTGCCACATATAACTTAGCACCAATTGACTGCAATTTAGCACCTCTATACTAGATCCTACCATGAATATACTGTAATTTAGCACATATATATATAGCAATGCACCACCTATAACTTGGCACCTATTGTCTGGGACTTAACATCTCTATGCTGGAACCTACTATGAATATACCGTAATTTAGTACCTATCTACAGCAACGCACATACACCTTAGCACAAATCAACCGCGACATAGCATCTCTATGCTAGAACATATGAATATACCATAATATATAGCACCTATCTATAGCAATGCACATACAGCTTAGCACAAAGCGACTGTGACATAACATCTTTATGCTAGACCTATGAATATACCATGATTTAGCAGCTATACATGTCAGCGCACCACATATAACTTGGCACCCATTGACTGTGATTTAACATCACTGTGTTAGAATTCATATATTATGAATATACCATAACTTAGCACCTATCTACTGCAACATGCCACGTATAACAGCACCTCTTGACTGCAGCTTAGCACCTCTACACCAGAACATACTATGAATATATTGTAATTTAACACCTATATATTGCATTGCACCACATATAACTTAGCACCTATTGACTACAACTCAGCACCTCTATGCTAAACTTATGAATATATCAAGACTTAGCACCTCTCTATTGCAGCATACCACTATAACGAGCACCTATGGAGTGCAAATTAGCACCTCTACACTAGAACTTCCTGTGAACGTACCATGACTTAGTGCCTATATACTGCATTATGGCATCTATATATTGCAGTGCACCGTGTATAATATATTGCAATGCACCATGTATAATATATTGTGATGCACTGTGTACAACAGCATCTGTCAACATCATCTTAGCAACTTTACACTAGAACTTACCGTGCCTGTACCATAATTTACCACCTGTATGCTGCAATGGGATCCCTGAATGTTGCAACATAACACATGTAACGTAGCACCTGTCAGCAGCAGCGTAGCACCTCTGCGTTTAAACCAACTATGAACTTACAATCACTCCACACATGCATGTTGCAACGTGGAGCCTACAGATTGCAACATGCAACATGCAATTTAGCACCGCTCAGCTGCAATGTCGTCCACCCCGTGGCTTAGGAGACCCAGCTCTAACTTGTTCCGCAGCCTTGGGTAAGGGATGTTGCCCTGTGCCTCAGTTTCCCCTTCCCTGCCCTTTGGCTGGCTTGTGTACTTAGAGCTTCAGGGCTTCTCCCACTAGGTGTCTGTACAGCTCCAAGCACAGCAGGACCCTGATCTCTGTGGGGGCCTGCCGGGGTTCCCTGAATGCAAATTGCTCCCTGGTGCCTGCCCTGTGGTGGGGTGCTCATGTCCTGCCATGCATCAGGTGCATCCCACGGGGCTACTGGGGGCCTGGACCGAAGCCAGGGGAAGCGGCTTGGCGGGTTTAGGATCAGGCCCTACAGGCCAGCAGACAGCGCCCGGCAGCCTCTGCAGGGGGGAGTGTCTCTGGAGCTTGCAATGCCCCTGGCAGTCGCCCACAAAAGGGCTGAGGAAGAAGCCAGCCAGCTTCTCATGGGGTTGGGAAAGAGGAAGCGTGTGACTGTGGGTGACTCAGTGACGGGGGCTCTTCCCAGCATCCTTCCCAGGGCTGCAGATGGGCATGACTGGGTTCCTAAGTCCCCTCGGAGGCAGCCCAGAGCCTCAGCCTGGCATCAGGGGCTGCATATGGAGGTGCCAAGGAGAGGAGAGAACACACCAGGGTCCTAATCCCGCTCGGCTGTAAAGTCCCCACACCGGTCACAGTGGTGGCCTTAGGCTGTTGGGACCCTGAGCAAGAGAGTCATTTGGGGCCCCTTATTTGGGGGCCGTTAGAGCCACTTCCTTGCAAAAACTTTACCCCCCAAAATTTGGGCCCTCTAAAGCCTGGGGCCCCTGGTGGTCACCTGGTTTGTCCTTCCCTGAGGCTGCTACCCAGCCCTTTCTTAGAAAATCCCCCAACACTTTGTTGACCACAGAGATCAAGAACATCCTCCCACACCTGCCTAAAAAAAGCCAGCAGCTCAAGCCACAGCATTCAGCACGAGGGAAGAAGAAAGCAAGACTTATCCAGCACAAAAATTCGGAGCTGGGAAAGGGGGACACGCCTTATTGCCCTCTCCTCCCCGACCCCCTCCAGCGCCTGTTCTCACGGGGAGCCAAGCAGGGCCCTGAAAGGAGCAGCCCCACCACTGACATTCGGCTGCTTGGGCAGATATTCACCCTGCAGAGATCTCGCTGCTCCCTCCATCATCCCCCCGGTCCCCACCTTGCCTGGGGTCCCCCCAGTGTAGGAGGCGCAGGCAGGGATCGCTCCTGTGTCCCCCACATCTCTGCACCAAAGGACAGTGGCAGCATCTTCACGGGGAGACCCCGGGAGTCGAGGCACTCGACCAAACCCCTCCACATACACACATGGGGGGTGTTGCTGGCTTGGATCGAACCCCCCCGCACCTCCTGCACCCCTCAGCCATCCTCCATCTTGCTGTCCCTCCCGGTGCCCCGGCCAAGCGCTGGTTCAGTGCATCCCTGCTCCCCCACGGCTGGCTGCTTTCCCAGCCCCTACATCAGCTTTGCCCCCCCGACACGCACGCTCAGACCCCCAGGCCCCAGCGGAAGCGATGCTCTTTCTTTTCTCCCTCCCTGCGTTGGCAGGGGAGGGGGTTTCTGCCAGGGGGGGGTTTTCACAGCGTGCCAGAGGGCTTGTGAAGCTTCCCGGGCACGAGCCCAGCCTGGTTTGGATCCTGCCTGGCTCTGGGCATCTCAAAGGCAGCCAAGGCAGGAAAGGCCCATCTGTCTCCCACCGCTGGCCTGCTGCGAGTGCGTGGGAGCAGGATTTGAGCTCACCCACTCTTGACCCCAAAGGCAACACACCAGCCCCCTGGATGCTCCGGCAGGCTTGGTCCCCCTCACCCACCAGCAAGGGGCGACCTCACAGCTGCCCCGGACCAGACTCTGCCCCTCTCCCTGCCTTGGGGGGCAACAGGAGAAGCACCCCCCCTGGGGACCCCCATCCTGCCCCAATTTGGGGGCTGCCCAGGCTGCCTCCAGTCCCAGCGGCATCCCCCTCCCCACTGTACTCACCCCACTGGAAGGCGACACGAGGCGTTGGATCAGGGCCAAGGGCCGCGGCGGAGATTGCCAGGCCCCACATCAGGCAGAGGGCGCGGGCGGGCATCGCGACGGGAGTGCGGGTGCTGCCGGGAGAGGGAACGGGGTTACACCGGCACCCACCTGCAACGGAAACCCATGAGGTTTCCTGCCCTCCCCCTCCGTGCCACGCCCTCGTTGGGGGAGACCCTAAGCCCAGCTCACCGGGACTGGGGGGCACCCTCCCTGCCCCTAGCCAGGCCCCTGCTGCGCAGGCAGGTGGGTAACAGCCCTCTACTGCTGCCGGCGGGTGGAACGGCTCCCTTCACCCAGGCTGGGGTGAGCACGTGGTGTCTTCACCTCCCCCGGGCGCTCTCCTTCCTCCCTTCACTGCTACCCCCCACCCCCCTGCATATGAGGCAACCTGACCTCTACACACACACACACACCCCCACACACACACACTAGCCACTAGGCCACATGACCTCGCAGAGGCAGAAACAGGACCCAGGAGTCCTGTGTGTCCCCCACTGCCCCAACATCACAGATGGACCCCAGGAGTCCTGACCCTCGGGATGATGCATGGACGGGCTCCCACACTCCCACACGTGACTGGTTTCTGGTTTCTCACACTCTTGTCCCAGGGCAGGCACCCTGGGAGAAAGCATCGAGCGGACCATAGGATCCTGAGGGTTTGGGAGAGGCACAGATGGGGCTGGGCGAGGAGCCCCAGGCAGGGCAGGGATAGCACTGAGGCCCAGAGCGTGGCAGGACATCCTGAGAGCACCCGAAACGGCCCCGTGCCAGGTGCTGTACAAACCCAAAGCAGAAAGACTGATCCCCCCCCTCCCCCCAAGCCCTGGATCTGCTTAGCCAGAGCATCCCCTGCGGTCCTCCCTGGACACTCCAGCCTCTTGGCCTGGCCAGCAGGGCTGTTTTGGAGGGGGGCAGGCGAAGGCATCTTACCCCCCGCCTTATTCACGGCCAAGCCAGCCTGTCTGTCCCCTGGGCATGGAAGCCTGCCCCATATGGAGACCCCCGGTGCCTCCCCTCGCTCGGCCAGGCTGCAGTTGGACTCAGGAGCCTTGCCATGGGGCTGGCTTGTGCTAGGGGCTGTACCCACGATGTGGGTCCATGCTTGTGTGTGCACATGTGTGTGTGCATGTGTGAGTATGTTCCTTCCTGTTTTAGGCCCCCAGCCCTCCACTATCTAGGAATCCCACTTCATGCTTTTCCCCCCACAGTCGAGGAGAAGTCCCTGCCTGCCCCAGCTGCAACCACATCCAGTCTCGCAGTGCTGAACTGGACACAGCTGCATGCAGAGACGGGGCCAAGCATGGCCTGGAGAGAGTGGTGCCGGTGGCAGGCGGCTGGTCCCTGGGTTTCAAAAGCCCTACCAAGGTGGAGAAGCGGAGAGAGGGAGCAGGGCCCCAGCCCCAGGGTGGGGGGCAGAGGTTGAGAGGGAGGGAGAGGGGGAATGGGAGAGAGAAGAGAAGGAAAAGCAATAATGGGGACAGGCGGGCAGGGGCGGAGGGAAGGAAGGAAGGAGCACACAGATGAACAGATGAGTGCAAGGGAAAGGAAAGGAAAGGAAAGGGCAAGCAAACCTCCTTCCTCCCCCTTGCCCCATGACAGCCCCCCCAGACCCATCACCTCTGCCCCCGGGGCTGGTGTTACCTCTCCAGGGTGCAGAATCAGCTCCGATATGTGGGCATGCTTGCCGGCAGGCAGCTCAGTCCCATGGCTCGGGGCCCAGCACCCATGGGAGATGGGTCTGTGCATCCACTGGGCCCGGGCTCAGTCTGTGCAGGGCCCCAGCTGTGCTTCCTTCCCCTCCCCGTGGATCCCTGGCGCTGAGCCTGGCAGCGGCTGGGGCTGGGCTGGGGCGGAGCGGGGAGGGTAGCTCCCCGTGCTTCGGGGAACCAGAAACTCCAGCCTCCCTGGGCGAGTCCCGGCAGCTCTGGGGGCGTCTCCAGATCCCCACAGCCAAGCGGGGAGCAGCCCAGCTTCCAGTGTGGCTCAGGGCCGGACACCTGTGATCTATGTCTGGACCCGCTCAAGTGAGGGACCCCTGGGTCCAATTCTGGATTCAGGGGAGGGTGGGGGGTCTAGTGCTTTGTGCAGGGGACTGGAAGGCCAAGTCTCGCAGCACCAAGGAGGTTGGGGCTTTACTCTTAAGTCTTTGGAGGATCCAGTTGATGGACCCCAGGGCCAGGCGGCCTCCCAGCCCACGGGCAGAACGGGGTGGGCACCCTCAGGGGGCTTACATAGGTCTAAAAAGGGCCCCCAGCTGTGTTTTTTATACAGCCCAGAGTTGGTTCCTCCCTTGTTTACCCCCCCTAGGAGGTGCCACTTGCTGGCCAGAAGGGAACGAAGGAGGATCGGGGCCCTGCCATGAGCTCCAGCCTCCCCAGTGCTTCGGGAGCAGAGCAGGGCATGGAAACACCCCCTCTAGCTCCCTCCGCCTCCAGCCCAGCGTTTGAAGAGCCAATGGTTGGGAAGTGTGTGTGTGTGTGGTGGGGGGTGAAACGACCCCCTGCGCTTGCCATTCGGCCGGGACAGAAAGCTCCTTGTGAGGCAGAAACTAGGTTACCGCACCGGGCTTCACACGCCGCCGACCGAGACGGGGCCGCGGGAAGGGCTAAGCTCCACATTGTTCGGTGCTGGGCCAGAGCCACCAAGGCCGGGGAGGGAGCCGGGCTGGGTCAGGGGAAGAGGGCACGGTGTGATCCTCCTCTAGGAGCCCCGGGCATGCAGAGCCCGTCTGTCTGTCCACTCGCCTGCCGTCCATCCATTCATCTGTCTGTCTGTTCATCCATCTAACTATCTATCGTCATACGCACCACTTCATCTATCTGCATGTCTGTCTGTCCACCTATCCTATCTATCTATCTACCTACCCCCATGCATACTACGTTGTCTATCTATCCATCCACACATCCCATTTTATCTACCTACCTACCTATCCATCAATCCATCCATCCATTCCCCTCTTTCTGCCTGTCCCTCTGTCTATCCATCCATCCCCATATACACCACTTTGCATGCCTGCCTATCTACCATCCTCCTATCCATCCGTGCCACTCTATCCATCCATCCATCCCTGTACATGCCACGTTTTCTGTCTATCTATCCATCCATCTGTATCATTGTCTGTCCATCCATCCGTCTCCATATGTACCACTCTATCTATCTATCTATCTATCTATCTATCTATCTATCTATCTATCTATCTATCTATCTATCTATCCACCTGCTTGCCTGCCTTCTTTCCACGCACCTATCCATCCATCTCACTCTATCCATCTCTCTGTCTGTCCATCCCTATACACATCACTTTGTCTGTCTGTCTGTACACATCTCAGTCTACCTATCCCTCCACCCCATACACACGCACTCTGTCTATCACTCCATCCATCTGCCTCACACCGCTGTCTCTCTCTCTCTCTCTCTCCAGCTCCATCCCCACACACATCACTTGATCTCCCCATCCGTCCACCCGCCCCAGCTGGGATTCGACTGTCTGGCTGCAGGGACGTCCATCAGGCACCCGCTCCTTGCTCCTTATGGGGTGCTGGCTCTGTCCCTCATTGCCCTCCCA